GCTCCTCACTTGCTTGTCCTTAAGGACAGGGTTAAGCATGGCGATGCCATAGATGTGACAATTGGTGATGATAGGGTATTGGGGATGTAGGCCGGATATGCGTGCCCAAGTGTGATTGACTTCGGTGGTTCATGGGATCAGTTTCTACCGCTCGCAGAGTTTGCTTATAACAACAGTTATCAGTCGAGTATTCAGATGACTCCATATGAGGCTTTGTACGGGAGGCGGTGTAGATCTCTGGTCGATTGGTTTGAGCCGGGTGAGGCTAAGCTATTGGGTACAGACTTGGTGCAGGATGCTTTAGACAAGGTGAAGGTGATTCAGGAGAGGCTTCGTACAGCGCAGTCGAGACAAAAGAGTTATGCTGACAGGAAGGTTCGGGATGTGTCCTACATGGTTGGTGAGAACGTTCTGTTGAAGGTTTCGCCCATGAAGGGTGTTATGAGATTTGGGAAGAAAGGTAAATTGAGTCCTCGGTTCATTGGGCCTTTTGAGATACTTGGAAGGATTGGGGAGGTGACTTATGAGCTTGCTTTGCCACCCAACTTGTCGAGTGTGCATCCTGTATTTCATGTTTCTATGCTCCGGAAGTATATTGGGGATCCGTCTCATGTTCAGGATTTCAGCACGGTTCAGTTGGATTGTGATTTGACTTATGATGTGGAGCCAGTGGCAATTTTGGAGCGTCAGGTTTGAAAGTTGAGGTCAAAGGATATAGCTTCAGTGAAAGTGCAGTGGAGAGGTCAGCCCGTGGAGGAGGCTACCTGGGAGACCGAGCGGGAGATGCGGAGTAGATATCCTCACCTATTTGAGGCTTCAGGTATGTTTCTTGACCCGTTCGAGGACGAACGTTTGTTTAAGAGGGGGAGGATGTAACGACCCGGCCGGTCATTTCATGTGTTACCGCTCTGTTTTCCCCATTCCTGTTTCTTATTGTCTTTTTTAGCTATTATGTGCTATCGGGTTGGTTGGCTCGGGTTCGGAGAGGTTTTGGTAAGGTTTGAGACACTTAGTCTCTTTTGAGTAAGCTTAAGTTGGAAAAGTCAACAGGATGTTGACTTATGTGGAAAAGGGATCGGATGTGAATTCCGATGATTCGGATAGCTTCGGGAGATGATTTGGGACTTAGGAGCGTGATCAGAATGTCTTTTAGAGATCCGTAGTAGATTAAGGCTTGAATTGGCGAAATTGGAATTTTGGCGTTTTCCGGTTGTTAGGTGAGATTTTGATAAAGTGGTCGGAATGGAATTCCGGGAGTTGCAGTAGGTCCAGTGTGTCATTTGGGATGTGTGTGCTAAATTTCAGAACATTCGGACGTGGTTTGATAGACTTTTTGATCAAAAGCGAAATTCGGAAGATTTTTGGAACCTTAGGCTTGAATCCGATGTTATTTGGTTGATTCGATGTTGTTTGAGGTATTTTGAAGATTGGAATAAGTTTGGATAGTGGTATATGACTTGTTCGTGCTATTGGTTGAGGTCCCGGGGGCCTCGGGGTGATTTCGGGAGGTTACCGGGAGATTTTGAGTTGGGTTTGGCAGCTGAAGTTCTCTATTGCTGTCATAACCGCACCTGCGGCTAGGGGACTGCAGGTGCGGGCTCGCAGAAGCACCCAGAGGGTCGCAGATGCGGAATTGGCCATGGGGAGCTGGAATCGCAGAAGTGGCTATTGGAGCGCACCTGCGATAGCGCAGGTGCAGGTGTTTGATCACAGGTGCGGAATTGGGATTTTAAGTGAAAATCACAGATGCGGTGTTTTGGCCACAAATGCGGCACCGCAGGTGCGGTATAGGGACCGTAGGTGCGAGAAGCCTGGGTAAGAAAGTATATATTTCATCCTTCGCGATTTTCAGCCTTTCTTCACCATTTTTAAATCGATTTTAGAGCTTTATGTGGGATTTTGAAGAGGGAATTCAAGGGAACTTCATTGAGGTAAGATTTTTGAACATAAAACTCGTTCCTACGGTGTTATTTCATTGATTAGGCATGAAATTTATGGAAATTTGTGGGTAAATATTGAAGAACTAGGGCTTATAATTGGAGACCTAAAATTAGGGATTTGAGGGGTCATTCGTGGTTGGATTTTGGTAAATTTGATATGCATGAACTCGTGGGAAGATAAGGATTCCATTGATGTTAATTTGTCGGATTCCGAGACGTGGGCCCGGGGATCAGGTTTGGTTAATTTCGGGATTTGTGTTGTAATTTGATTAATTTCGTATGGGCTTCACTCCTTTAGCATATATTGATGGTGATGAACTGATTTTGGATAGATTCGACGCGTGTTGATGCCGATTCGAGAGGCAAAGGCATCGCGGGCTAGAGTTTGGATCGGATTGAGGTAAGTAATGATTGTAAATGTTGTCCTGAGGGTATGAAACCCCGAATTTCACTTTGTTGTGCTATTTGGAGGTGACGCACATGCTAGGTGACGAGCGTGGGGTTGTGCACCGTTGGGGATTGTGACTTGGTCCGTCCCGTGCGACTATTAAATCGCGTATTTTACTTGGAAACTATTTGATATTGTTATATTTTGAAAAATATTATTGTGTTTGGGGCTAAACGCCGTGTCTGGGCCTTGTGCCGATTGTTTGGACCCTTAGGGGCTTTTACTACTATTTTTCCTCACTGTTTTGGTTTAAATATTTACACTCAGTCATGCTATGTTCTTTCTATTTTCATAACTCGATTTTATTCACTCCTTTTGATTTCATAAATGATTTTGAGCCTAGTACTTGTTTTACTATCAGCCCGAGGGGCTTGAGTGAGATCTGATTGAGTGAGGCCGAGGGCCTATGTTGTGAGGATATTGTGATATATTGTGAGGACGAGGGCCTGATTATGCCACGAGTTGGCTTGTTGTTATAAGGCCGAGAGCCTGATTTGTTATGCCACGAGGTGGCTTGTGATAGCGCTTGGGCTGTAAGGAGCCCCTCTAGGAGTCTGTACACCCCCAGTGAGCGCGGTACCCAGTGTGAGATGTGATATTGTCACGATCCAAAATCCACTAAGGGTCGTGATGGCGCCGAACACCACCGTCAGGCAAGCCAACCAAATTACTTATTTAAATTCTCGTTTTAATACTCTTGAAATCTATGATTTTCCTCCATTTTTATAAGTAAAAAGATAATTGCTTCAATTCAAATTAAATGATAAACAATTGATACAAAGTACTTCAAAACCATCCCAGAACCCGGTGTCACAAGTGCATGAGCAATTTCTAAGAAAAAAACCGAATAAAGTACAACACCTGTCCGGAATACAATTGGACAGAAAATAAATACAATATACTGGAAGGGACAATACTAGCTGCGGGGCGCCTCGAGTAATGCAACTCACCTAGTCCCAGTATCATCCATGCTGCTACGCCCAGTAGGCCACTAGTAGTACAAGTGCCTGTGCAACAAAAGTGCACAGAAGTGTAGTATGAGTACATAAACAACGTGTACTCAGTAAGTATCCCGCCTAATCTCGAAGAAGTAGAGACGAGATGGCAACTTCGACACTTACTAAAGGTCCAGTAATAATATTATAAATGCGATGACTCACAGATCCATTAAGAACCACAGTAAAATTCACATGAGTCACTAAACAGGTGAAAGTTCCTTTTTAATTAAAATCTCCGGATTCATAATCCATTAATTGATAATTATCTCAAGTCGGGGAAAGAAGGTATTAGTATCAACAACTTTCTANTTTCTATAACTTCGATTTTTATCTACTCCTTTTTGATTTCATAATGATTTTGAGCCTAGTACTTGTTTTACTATCAGCCCGAGGGGCTTGAGTGAGATCTGATTGAGTGAGGCCGAGGGCCTATGTTGTGAGGATATTGTGATATATTGTGAGGCCGAGGGCCTGATGGATCTATGCCACGAGTTAGCTTGTTGTTATAAGGCCGAGAGCCCGATTTGTTATGCCGCGAGGTGGCTTGTGATAGCGCTTGGGCTGTAAGGAGCCCCTCCCGGAGTCTGTACACCCCCAATGAGCGCGGGTACCCAGTGTGAGATGTGATATTGCTCGAGGGGCGGTTGTTGTTCATGTTATTTCCCGAGGGGCTGATACAAGTGATGGTGAGATAGCCCGAGGGGCTGGTTCTGTTGGTATTTTGCCCGAGGGGCTGATTTATGTCTCTATCGTTTTCTTCCTGTTTTCATCACTCATTTGAACTACTGGAAGATGTTTTAAAGAGGTTTTCACTAAACTAAGGTGTTTTTATGAGCTTTTACTGTTTTATTGCATTGTCTGGTTTATACTGCTTTGCTGTAGTATTATGCTGTGTTTTACGTGTTTTCTTATCTCTCAACTGCCTTTACTTTTATTACTTACTGAGTTGGCGTACTCACATTACTCCCTGCACCCTGTGTGCAGATTCAGGAGTCTCAGGTCACGCTAGCGAGGGCTGATTTGCTTTCCAGCAGGCTTGTTCGGAGTTGACTAGGTAGCTGCTCGGCGTTCGCAACCCAGTGCTTCTCCTTCCTATCTTTATTTCACTTGTTCTAGCTTTGTATTAGACTATGTTGTCTTTTCATACTCGTAGACGGAGATGCTCATGACTGGTGACACCCCGATGTCGGGCTGTGTTTGTTTCCGCACTGTTCTATTCTACTCTTTATTTTGGGATTTACAGCTTATTAATGACTTAAAAATGAATGATTATAACTGCTTAGTAGTCTTGGGGGTTTGTGTCGGCTGGCCTTGTTTTACGATAGGCGCCATCACGAGCGGGTCCGGTTTAGGGTCGTGACACTCTTATATATTGGTGGCATACGTTGGAAAGAGGAATAAGCATCATGATTCTCGTTAAAAATACTTCCAAATACTTCTAAAAAGATGTTCGTTGAAGTAGAGAAATCAAGGATCAGATTGTTGGCATCATTCATTGCTGACTTTTCACCAGCTTCTCAATAAAGTATTGGGTTTCGACAATTACGTACGTACGTGTCTCACATCTTTTATCATTTAAGATATCATCACTCTTCACAATATATAAAGGAAAAAGACAAATCTCAAATATGCCGGTTTCACCTTCATCTCCTGTATTATGGTGATTGTCCAGATACCCAAATAGCATATATAATGTGGCTTCACTGGGAGTACAATTTAACTAATTATCATGATCTAGTCTCTCAGTTTAATTTGCATTTTCATCATTCGGCATGCTGGAAAAAGTCGTTCCTTTTAATATATGTGTTCCTTCAATTCAAAGAATGGAGGGTACCGTCTGATTTTATTCTGAAATATTTTGGTGAAGAGAACTGAAACTGAATGGAAAAGGAACCACCCAAGGATAAAAGATGGTTTTGGCGAGGGCTGGTCCTTTTTTCTTTTGTAGCACTTGTTATTGCTGCGGTTTTATTCAGTTTCAGCAAATATTTTCATCGTTCTGATTCTTCAAAGGCTGATACCCACCAAGTTGTTGACAAATATGCAAATGCTCTTATCATTGCTATGCAATTCTTTGACGTTCAGAAGTGTAAGACTATATATATTCACATTGGTCGCTTAATTAGTCCTAAGTTTAATGCTTATTTTGGTTTTGATATTTGAATTATTGACTGCAGCTGGAAAATTGGTGAATAATAAGATTGCTTGGAGAGGAGATTCAGCTATGGGAGATGGAAGCGAAGCGAATTTGGATTTAACTAAAGGAATGTTTGATGCTGGAGATCATGTGAAGTTTGGATTTCCAATGGCATTCACTGCAACTGTTTTATCATGGTCCATTTTGGAGTATGGCAATAACATGAAGTTGGTGAATGAGCTGGAAAATGCCCAAGAATCCCTCAAGTGGATCACTGATTTCCTTATTAATGCCCATCCTTCTGATAATGTCCTCTATATTCAGGTAAATTTAATTCCCTTTGATAATTACAAACTATTTTCAGTGATAAAACTTACTGAAGTATCTTTCTGTGTTTTTCTACAAGAAAGGTGGGTGACCCAAAGCTGGATCACACTTGCTGGGAAAGACCTGAGGTTATGACAGGGAAAAGGCCTCTCACACAAGTGAACGCGACGTATCCAGGGACAGATGTTGCAGCTGAAACTGCAGCAGCAATGGCAGCTGCATCTTTGGTGTTCAAGTCAATTGACTCTGCCTACTCAAAGACTCTGCTTAAGCATGCCCGGCAGTTATTCACGTTTGCTGATACTTATAGAGGTTTATACAGTATCAGTATACCCGGAGTGCAAGAATTTTATAATTCTACTGGATTTGGGGATGAACTCTTGTGGGCAGCTGCCTGGCTTTATCATGCTACCAGAGACAAATCTTACCTTAGATACGTCGCTACAAATGGCGATGTGTTTGCTAATTGGGGAAATTCGTCTTGGTTTTCTTGGGAAAATAAGTTGGCCGGAGTTCAGGTATTGTACACATAAATCTGTTTGCATCATTAACATGAAGCTGGAAAAATACTATACTTGGAATTTGGAAACACTATGAAGAACACGAAATCTTGCTTCTGTTTTGAACTGCATCCTTAGCTTTGTTAAAATAGGTTAAGGCCCATAATTTGGTGAAGCATGTGCCATTATTCTCATAAGTAATGTTCATAAACAAGAAATGACTAATGGCTTGTTTTTTTTATTCTCGAGAAGAAAGAATACTCCAGCTAACAGCTATGCAGATTTTTTACCTTTGATTCAGGTCCTATTATCAAGGGTCAATTTCTTTGGTACAGAGGAAGATATTTCAACTGAGGAAAGTCTTTCGCTCCAGTTGTACAGACAAACTGCTGAGACCTTTTTGTGTGGACTGCTACCTGAATCCCCAACGGCAACATCTCAAAGAACACCAGGTATTATGATCCTGTCAGCAAGTCATTGTATCATTATGGTCTTTTTCCTTTTAGAAAGAAAGGTAGGTGCAATAAAACTAGTATAATTTTGTTGCAGATGGCCTAGTATGGGTTAACCAGTGGAATCCATTGCAGTATTCTGTGGCCTCTTCATTTTTGGCAGTTGTTTACAGTGATTACATGCTTAGCTCCCAAACATCAAATTTATATTGCAGTGGGGAGCTCTATGAGCCAACAGAATTGCGCAACTTTGCAGTTTCACAGGCATGTATTTGCTTATTTCAAGGTTCAATTTTCGTAATATAAAATGGCACGGCCAGTTGAACATGTCATTTTTTTCAGATGCATTATATGTCAAGTCCATTAAACATCTGTCTTTATTTGTTTCCAGTTGGACTATATATTGGGAAACAATCCGACGGAAATGAGCTACCTTGTTGGTTATGGAAGTAGATATCCTCAGCAAGTTCACCACAGGGGTGCTTCAATTCCAGTAGATGATAATTCTAATTGCAGTGATGGCTTCAAATGGCTTCATACAAGAGAACCTAATCCAAATGTTGCAGTGGGAGCTCTTGTTGGAGGACCATCCCTTAGTGATACATATATGGACTTTCGGAACAACATTTCCCAAAGTGAAACCACCACTTACAACAGTGCCCTTATTGTTGGACTCATCTCAGGCCTGATCACCTCTTCATCACAAGTAGAGTCCTTTGTGAAAAACTGAAACATAAACTCCAGCACTGTGTTTTCCTTGTTAGGTCAGTGAAAACCGCACATGGTTCACCATACAAGTAATAACGCTACAACTTAAGCGCAACTACAACTGCCGCCAGTTCCAAACGCCCTGCCTTAACCTGTCCTTACTGCGATTCTTCACCTAGTCAATCAGATAGATATGTCCCTATGAGCGACTCCTCTGAGAAATGAAAGGAGTAGCCAATATGTAAATTTGTAGTAATATTTTTCAACCATAGAATGACACCCTTTAGTCGTAAGGAATTTTATGCAAGGTCCGGCTCTTTCCTCGATCCTCGCATAGCGTAAGCTTAATGCACCAGGCTGTCTTTTTTTTTTTTCCTTGCATATGCCCATGTCATCACTGCCATGTGTATCTATGAGTTGGGCATTTTCTGATCCCAAGTGTCCTTTCGTTGGGTGTTCCTATGTATATGAAGAAAAAAGAATAAGCTCATAGTATTTGAAGTAGGTACTATATATGAAACGCGTGTAACGTAAGGTTTTTATCACAATTTATATTATTAAAAAGAAATATGGATTTTTGATACATGGTCACAGGTGACATATCTATCATATACATGACAAGTCATATCCTCAGCTAATTTTTAATATTAATCTTCATAGTGATTGGGAAAAAACAATCAATAAACTACTTAAATTAGGTAAATATGATGTCTATATATGGAGACACGTCATAGTTGATGTCACAATTCAAATGACATTACAACGAGCTAAAATTCTACTGACCTAATTAAATTTTATTATGTATAATTATATCAATTATCTATATCTCAATTTTTAGACTTATCGTACTTAGTGAATTCATGACTATCTCTGTATTTGTTCAATCTACTTGATCCCCCAACTATCAACGGGTATGAATTCCTTATCTATATTTTAGTATCTACAATTATCATAGTGTGTCATAAATATGAGTTGGTATATATAAAAGTTCAAGTAGGACATGATCACATGACACACTATCTCGAGCAATTTTATTTCATTTATCCTCTAAATCCATTTTGGTGGTTTTATCATAATATAATGGACTAAAATAAAAGACTCAAAGGTCCCCACTGTATAATAATTTGTGTAAAAAATCTTAAAGGAAACTGGAAAAGGAAAAGGCAGAGACAACAAAAGCAAGAAAATGTGTGAGAGAGCTTAATCATCAACATTCAACATAATCACCTGCCAATTTGTCTCCTGTTCATAGCCTCAATTGAATCTCCCAAAATTTTCTCTCAATTTGCGAGGTGCCTCTTTCTCTATTCCTTGAATTTTTTCCGCAAAAAGTGTACTTTTTTGGTTTTGATCGCGTCTCTTTTCATTGCAATTCCTTTGAATGTTGATCGGAATTTGATGGGTATCGGTAGGAAGGGTTAATCCTACGATAATGGTATAATTTATGTGATAATTTTGTCCCTTTCTTTGTCTGAAATTCTAATTCTCTTCATGAGTGTTTTTTTTTGGGGGTGGGGTGGGTGGGTGGGTGGGGGGGGACTGATACTGGGATTCCTCTTTCTTGGATTTTTATGATTTTGATTGATGAAACCATTTTTACAGTTGGATTTTGGACTTATAAGGATGTACCCGGTTGACTGATATCTTCACTCCCTGCCAAATTATTTTTGTATGTGCTTTCCTTTCTTAGGCGTGCGAATGGCACAGTTTGCCACGAATTTGTATGAATTTATGGTGTTCTTTATATACTTTATCAGGAAATGCTGTCTTTACGGGAAGTGAAATTAGGCTGCTTAAAGTTTGGATGCCAAAGGAAATTCTAACAACAACTGTTTACATAGACATAAGCAGATTGCTTAAATTTGACGAGTTCAATCTATAGGTTCTTATTACTGATCCGATTACACCTTAGAACTTTTGGGTTCAAATTTAATATTTTTAAATTTTTAATGATTTTTCACATGTATATTTATGCTCCATGCTCCATCTAGACCGTACATAGGGCAATATCTTCTTATGTTTCTTGATTTCTGTTTGCATTTAAAAGTATTCTGCCTTGTTAAGGTTTTTGTGCAAGTGTTCCACCACAACAACTTCTACACCTTAATCCCAAGCTAGTTGGTAGGCTATATGAGTCCTCAATATCCATTTCGTCCAGTACTCCAGTTGGACCTCTTCCATTTGATACTTAATAATATTTTGAGATGCATTTTGTATTTTCTAGACTAAATTGCTAGTGCATTCCGAAGAAAATGTGATGCAATTATTATGCTTTATCCTGTGAATGTCATGGGAATTCCTCAACAAGTGTTAACGGAGTTTAGTTTAGCCTTTTTATCTGAATATTCAGCTTAATGCATGAAAGTTATTAAAATCACCATGGAAGGATCTTTATTTTTGATCTGAAAGTTCAAGAACTGCATGGTGGTGATTAGAGTTAAAGTTTTTATATGATTCTCATGTGGTTCATTGTGATTTGACCAACTTTCTTCTACTACTTATTACTCCCAAATGTTCCTAAACTTTTATTTTCATAGGTTCCTGAGCTTACATCACTGACCTGATAAGGTGATGGCGGGTGAGGAAGATATTGATCTCTCAGCTTTAAAATCCCAATTGGCTCAAACAGACGTTACTTGGAAGCTAGAGATGGAGAAAAGTCAGTCCCAAGTGGATGCTTTGCAAGCAAAACTGTTGGAGGTAAAAGCTTGTATTCAAGGATCAGAGGAAGATACAAAGAGAGAGTTAGATGCTCTATGGCATAGAGTCAGAACTGCTACAACATTGATGACGTACTTGAAAGCTAAAGCCAGAGTCATGGCTGTTCCAGATTTGGCCAATTCCTCATGCGGTATCAAAGAACTAGATGGAGTAGGCCTTGTAGATAAAAATGGAATACCATTATCTGGTTGGTCTAGGGATGTAGATCTCTCGTCTTTTGATGATGCTGATGATGAAACATGGATTAGACTTTCGAGTAAGCATGGTCACCTTGCTGAACAAGAAGGATCTTATATGAGTGAACTACTCAGAAGTGTACAGTTGGTTACAGATGTTATGGAAAGTCTTGTAAAGAGGGTTATAATGGCGGAATCTGAAACTGCTATAGAGAAAGAGAAGGTAACGGTAGGTGAAGAAGAGATTAAGAGGAAGGCGCTCCAGATCGAAAACATGTCTGTTAAGTTAGAGGAAATGGAAAGATTTGCTCTGGGTACAAATCTTATCCTGACTGAGATGCGACAGAGAGTTGAAGATTTGGTTGAAGAAACTTCTAGACAGAGGCAGAGAGCTGCAGAAAATGAGCAGGAGCTTTGTCGTGTTAAGAGAGACTTTGAGTCTCTGAAATCCTATGTCAGTAGTCTCATTAGTGTGAGAGAAACACTTCTATCATCAGAAAAGCAATTCCAGACGATTGAAAGGCTTTTTGAGCGGTAAGTATTCCCCTTTCGTCAAAAGAAATTTTCATAACCATAACATGCTGGCAGACCTATTTCCTTCTTTCCTGGCTATGCAGTTTGTCTGTGATGCATGAAGTTTATAGTTAAATATATCGTTTTTCTCTCACTTATGTACCACTGCATCTTAATACTTGCCATGCAGCTTGCTATAATAACTGGAATACAAATGTCAAAGCACAACTTCTTCCTGTGTGTTCAATAACACTTGCCTTGCAGCTTGTTTATAATAATTGAAATACAAATGCACAATCGTAAATTCACTGCATATTATATGTGTGTCATTTGGTTAGAAGATGCTTTGATAGCTCCATCAATTGCTACCTCATTTCTCTAGTTTGCTTGTTGGTCCCTTTTCGTTTATAAATGTTACTTTCCAGAGTAATTTTTTTCCTTGTTTTCACCTTTAGATATTTATTTACTTGAAGGGAATGCAAGCATGAACGCTCATTTGTTCTAACTAAGTGCTTTAAACATTTTCCCTTCGAGTGTGGTTGATTTAGATCATCAATACCATAATGGACTCTTGGACATGCTTAGTGCTATAACATCCCTTTTAATCTATCGGGCTATTATAAGATCTTGTACTGATCCAGGGCTGTCATAGCTTCTCCTTCTCTATTATTTTCAAGGCTTGGGGTGGGATGGGGGAATATTTGAAACTTAACAGTGTTGGTCATTGTTCAATGCAAAGGGCTAGGAGCCTGGGACTGTATGAAATTAACAATTTTGGGCATTATTCACATGACGTTATCAGGGATAGTTGAAAATAAAGAGAAATAAAAAAGTCCAAATTGCTGCTTATGGAGTTATTTTACTTTATTTTGAAATGTGCTTTGTTGCACTAGGTAACTCCCAGATGCAAGACAGATATACCATCCGAAATATTGAGAAGTGATTGGAAAGCTTGATTACCGCTCAAGCTTGGTTGAGAATGTATACCAGTTACTAGTTTACAATATGGTAAGATACAGATTCTAGGGAATAAAACATCTCCTAATATATGGCTGATGTCATATGGTCTTAGGCAATCCTCACCTCATGAGCTAGCGTTGGAGGTTGAGTTGGGCCCAAGGTGTGTTTTCTTTACGTGAGTTTTTGTGAGAACTTGCTTCATAAAAAAAATTATTTGTGAGAAGTTCGATCAATCAGCCGAAGGAGCAGAGCTTAGAATCTTTACTCTATGTAAAGTACACCTATTTTAAGGGTGTACGGGGGCCAAAAAACACAAAATTAAAAGGGTTTCTCTATTTTTCATAAAATACTGGTAACAACTAAATTTCATTGGGGTTTTTTATAAATTTTTGTTTTTGGATATTTGTGCCGAGAGTTGCAGAATGGCACCCCAATAACCATCTTGCCCAGTCCTGGATATATTGTGTGACAGAGCAGCTTGTCAAAGGCTTTTTTCCTTACATATCAGTCCAGAAACTAAAGAATCACAAAGTATAAACAGTTTGATGATGCCAGAATGAAATAGTTGAGAATAATTAGTTTTATAGGGGTGGCCACAAAATAAGAAAGACGGCTTTACTGCTAGTTTGTAACTCCTCTAGGTTAATCCAATATTAGGCAATAGTGGGTAGTCAACTTCATCATTTAAGAAAGTTTGGCAAATGGTTTTTGGTGAATCAATTATTGATTGCGAAATGTGAAGACTGAAACCTGGATTAACGAAAAAATTGAAATCACAAACTTCAAGATGGCTGAGATCTACGTATTAAATCCTAGTTCTCTCAATCTTTTATTAGTAAAAGAAGTTGTATTCTCTATCTTATGACATAATGTTGAATAATCGTTTTTTTTTTTTTTTGAATTTTTTTCTTTTGAGAATAAAGTTGAATAATCTTTTTCTCATTGGTAATATTTTTGAAATCTAGAACTTTTAAAATGCATTATTTTAAAATGATAGCGTCATTCGCACTCTCTTTATCTAATAAAATTGACATTTTAGTGTTGAGCAATACTGATTTTATAAAAATCCATTTATTGTTTTAGTTGTAACTTAATTGGTAAAATCATCTGCTTAAAGATATAGGAGAAGTTATACAATGACCCGGACATGTTGAATTATCAAAGTAGCACCCCTTCACAGAAGAATGGTAGATGTTATCTTCAACAGATTTCAGTCTTTCCTTATGATATGTTGAATGTCTAACACAAATCTAGACTTCTAAATTCTTACATGTGATGTTAATACTTAATTATGCAAGATTTCTCCCTTTTTCCGCCCCTTCGAGCTGCTTGCTAAAATTAAAGTCTGAAGTCTTTAGCTTGAAATTTGAGTTACTGAAGTTCAAGTACTGAACTGTCAACTTTGTGCCTGCCTGAATTATGTATAGATATATCATGAATACAAACTGAAGTGATCCTCTTTAACATTTATTAATTTGAAGCTGAAATATGATGATCTCTTCATTATGGAATATGTTTTACTTCTTTAAAAAAAATTGTGTGTAGCAAAACTAAATTCCAATCTTCAAATTACAGGTTTTCCCTTTAATTATTAGTTTTGTTTTCTTCCATTTTGTGTAACAAAACTACCTTATTTTACTGAAGTTCTGTATGCAGATCTCCATCACTTTAATAAATATTAGCTTTATATAAAAAATTTAGTTTTTTTAATTGCTATATTACATGTAATCCTTTCATGTCACTGAAACCCTAGTAAACAACATTAAGAAAAACAACAAATAAGAAAAAATAAGAAAAGAAAATTATTTTTCTCTTCCCTTTTGAGCTTATCTTTCGTTCTTTTTTCTTTAATTTCATGATATTTGTTTAATTTATTTTGTTTTTGTTTATATTTTTTAGTATGCAAATATTATTTTAACAAAGTGAATTGAAGAATGATAAGATTAGATTCATGATTTACCATTATTTGAAAAAAAAAGGATTAGATTCATGAATTAATAATACTTGTCAAAAAGATAGACGATCTAATTACCAGTAATTTAGATGATATAGTTTTGCAGACTACTAAAACTTTGATGCAAAAGAGAAATTTTTGTACACTTCTAGGTTAAATTACTGTTGTACACAAGGTCTGAAAGAAGGGAGTTTGAAATTATGAGTTTTTGTTACAAGTTGGAAACCCAAGAAAGGTATGCATAATTTTCTCAAAACTTTAAATGGTGGAAGGTCAGAAATGATGTTTTAAGCAACCATCTTCTGTATGTTAATAAAATATTCATTTTACAGAATATGAGAATATCGTGGAGAATTATGGCCTCAAAGAGTGACATTGTTTAGGCTCAAAATGATTTACTTATTGCCTATTTGCACCACGATCCTGTATTTCATTACTCTCTTAGCATCTTAAAGTAGTTGGTAGCTGTATGACCAAGTAACATAGTAATAGTACAGAACAAAAAGAGAGCACCAACTTGGATGAAGTTTCATCTGATTGGAATCCAGAGAACATCACTTGTCCTCACTGCTATATCTATTTGAGCAAATATTAGCTTCAAACTTTGTGCTCTTACAACTAGCTTAGTGAGATTTTGTTAGGTTGGCTTTCCAAATGGTAATGAATCACGATATGTCTGAACACCTGTTTGTCATCTAATTAGCACATGAAGATAGAATTCTGACCACCATAAGAGTGGTTAATATTTATTGGTTGATGTATCCATCCTCGTCAAAATATGACTGCAAAATTTGTTATTTCCCAATCGGCACGAAATGTTGAAGCTGCTATAATTCATTTAAGTAATATTTCATCATCTGGAATTTGTGTGCTGAGTTTGTCTTATGTGAACCAGGCTGGTTGCCAAGACAACACAATTGGAGAGTGAGAAGACGCAGAAAGAGGTTGAAGTACAAAAACTGATGGAAGAAAATGTGAGGTTGACTGCTCTACTTGATAAGAAAGAGGCACAACTTTTGGCCATGAATGAACAATGCAAGGTTATGGCGCTTAGTGCTTCAAATATTTAGTTTTATGTGTTTAGACTCTTTGTTCGTTGCGGGGCTTTGTCATGTTCCTTTGTGGCCCTCCAGCTTAAAAAGTTGAATGAAACAACTGAAACCCTTCTATCCAGTAAATGCAGCTTTGAGAGGAACCTTTGTACCCCTAGTTGTCTTGTACTGCGTCATTGATGATAGCAAAATTTGTTCTAAATCTAATGAAAGGACTACCCACCCCCTTGTCTTGTACATCTATGACGAATTCTGCTTCTATTTTTCATTTCACTTTATTGAAGATAGCAGTCAGACAATGGTATTGATTGTTGTTTTTTTTCCCTTTCCTTTTTAGTAAGTGACAATTATTTTGTTGAAGCATTCGAGTGCCTAAATTAGTGATGTACCAAAGTTAAGTTTGAACTGGTGGACATGCAGAGCAAAAGAAAGAAGCACCTTGATTACTTGGTTAAAACATTTATGTTTTAAACATTTGATGATCACAGTATTGAACAGATAGAGAAGAATGATTCCAGCCAGCAATAACCTGCCGTTAACGTTCAACAAGTAGCTAAATCTTTTACGCAACATTCCATTTTGTCTTATGAAAATGGTTGTAAGTGTATCATATGGATAGCACTTTTTGAGTATGTCATATGGATTCAAGTGCAGAACTTTTGAATCAGAAATAGTGTTAATGCAACGGACAGAATACAGAATATGTCCTTCCGAGACAAAGAAGCAGTCTTTCATTTATTTTTATTTTTATTTTTAATTTGGTTATCTCCGATAAATGCAGTCAAATTGCAGAAACAGAAAAGAGAATATAATCCGTTCAGGTTGGGCTTCATCATCTCTATCCTCTGTTAAATGATTCGCTTTAGCTAGACAGTAGGAACATTTTCTTGAATAATCCAATAAGGTGTGACCGTAGTGCAAAATTAATTGAAAAGTAAGCATTTGATTCTCACCTCAAGGAGTTAAATGCCTACTCTAGATACGCGGTTTCTGTAAAAATAGCACGGACTAGTCAGTTTTCGGACCGGTAATTAAATAATAGCCAGCGTTTGCAAAGTCATTAAAAAATAGTCACTATTTTGCTGCAACACAGAAAGTTCCAGCATAATATACTGGAGATTGGTGCACCCGTGTATGAACTTATGCTGGAACTCCAACACGCGGAAAGTTCCAGCATAATATACTGGAGATTAGAGCACCCGTGTATGAACTTTCAGCATATTATGCTGGACCGCTATATTATACTGAAACTCCAGTATATTATGCTAGATTGCTAGAAGTCTAGTATATTATACTGGAACTCCAGTATATTATGCTGGGATATTTTTCGGATTTTGAACAGTTTTTTCATTCAGATTTATCTTTACATGAAAAGTGGCTAAATTCGATTACTTTTAAAACCGTAACTATTTTTAATGACCACTTGTAAATCTTACTATTTTTGAATTTCTCCCGCGATTTCTCGGTTGTGGATATATATTTTTTCATCCATTATTAATAAAGAGCAACTAGCGATATCAGTGAGAGTTTCCCATTAAAAAAAATGCAGGTTTATCTCCTAATATCCCCTTCTAATTTCCATTCATGACCCTCTTTTGTAACTAGTCTTAGGAACCGCGCTTGCGCATGTACCCATATTAATAAAAATAAATTTTTTAAAATAATATAAATGGTATATTCAAAAGATATATTTGTGATAAATAAAAATTAGCAAACATATACTTTCCAAAGATAATTCTTTCAACACACACTAATTAACTTTTTCAAAAACCAAAGTTTTCATCATCTTGTGATAAATACATTTTCTTGGCTCTTTGTAATGATGATAAGTTCTAGGACATATTACGCATGTTTATGTTACAATTATATTATTTTCTTATTAGGCAAACACGTTATTTGATATTTAATATTCTGGTTAACGTTTATATTTGTTGATAAAGTAATTTGAATAACTGAAAGATATTAAAATTGCTAGTATTTGGCCATATGAAAAATAAAAAACTGAAGAAAGAGAGAAGAATAGTCAAAAATTATTTTTTATGCCCAATACCTTGCATTTAAATTGATCTAGTATTTGGAGCCAGATGACATATTTTTGTAAGAAAGCACAAAAAAAAAATAAAAGAAAGTAATAATTTTTCAATACTGATCTACGCCAAACAACGTTGATGGCAAACCTCGAGAAGACATAATAAGCCGCCGATCTCGAGAAATTTTTCAATGTTTATGACTAGGATTTATACAAGTAAAATCACTCGATTTTAAAAATTTTAAATTTAGGCGTTCGTACATTTTTCAAATAAAGAAAATTTTAAAATTCAAAGGTTTAATTAATTATAGAATCTTAATTTTTAGAAAAATAATTAAATTACTATCCTTAAATATTAAAAAAATAATTAAATAACTATTTTATCCAGTGAGTAGTGTCCATAATCAAAGATTTAGAACTCTAATATATGTTGCACATGTATGTGTCTGTATATTTTAGAAGGATTTAGAACAAACATTAACAATACAATAATTTCTTTATAATTTAGTACAATACTGTAATTGTTGGCAGAAGGTTACTCTTCTTAGACTATCAACTACATTTACTTTATAAATTAATATACTTAATTTTAAATACCTAATAGAATAACAATGTTGATATTTAGCGTATAAAAGGATATCAACTAATAAATACGGCCTAAATCTAAAAGGAATGCAAAGTGGTCAAAACTTTGTCTAATCCGAAATATTAGGAAATTAATTTAATGACTATTTATATCTATATCTATATCTATTATTATCTATATCTATACTATATTAAAAGCACGAAGGCCCTTAGCGAAATGTCGTTCGCCTTTTTTACCCTTTAAAAATAGAGTTCACACTGGACAATATAGTAATTTTAATATTTTTCTAATATGTAGGAGTGATCATTTAATTATTTTCCTAAACTGGGATATTGGAATCAACTATAATTCTGAATATTTATTTTTTCCATATTTAGGATTCTACAAGCAATTAGAATTTTTTCTCATATAGGTTTCCTTATTTAAAGCCCATTAATATTAAAGTTGTTGTAAACTACAATATATATTTTTTTCATTCAAAACTTAGAAATTAAGAAGTTGTATTTGTACTACTTTTTTTCGTCCAATTAGCACTACTGAAAATAGGCACACATAAGCCATATATAACACAAAAGTAAAATACTCCTTATATTAGTCAAAAACTAAGAGGAACATCGAATAATTAAAAAAATTAAGGAATAATTGTAAAAACATTTTGTTAATTAAATTTTCTCTTGAAATTTTAAATGATATTACAAATTTATTTTTTCGACAAGTTTGTCTAAGTATTATGTTATTACATGTTATACGTAAAACGTAGGACTCAATTTTAAAATCGAGTTCTTAATGTTTGATTTAGTTTTTTACAATTTTTTGAGGCTATTTTCCTTCTAATGTCTTTTGTAATATGACATATTTCGGGTATTTAGATTCTTAATTAAAATCAATGGTTTAAATTTTTATCATACATTAATAATTTTTTAATATTAATAAATAAATTGAAAAGAACAATCGAATAGAAAGAAGATTGATTTATTTCATTTCTAACTGTCAATATTCAATTTAGCTAAATAAATATGCAACATAAACCATGGAATAGGTTATAGTTTGTGCATAAGATAAAAGAGTTGTAATCCTGTTTTTATCATTTTGGAAGTGCAAGTACTTTTATTTTGTACTCATGTAAAGAATTTTGTGTTATTAAATTTAATATTTAATTCCATTAAAGGGAAATTTGAACATTACATAAATGTTATTAGATTTTATCATATGAGTTTTGTTTTGTTATAAAAAAAAATAAAAATAAGAGAGGTGTGCGTAATTCTCAAACTGCAATAGAAGTTTGTGTTATAAGGAGAATCTCATAGGAAAGTTTTCGAAATTATCCCAAATTGTGATTATAGCTAAATATTAAAACTTGGGATAAGTTAATATCAAGCTTTTAATTGATGAAACAATATTTTCTTTAATATTTAAAATAAATAATTAAATTAGCTAAGTAACAAAAGAGTGCAATTTATTTTTCCCCAAATTATCATAAAAGTAAAATTATTTTCCAAATAGAAAAAACTACTAGGATATATGAAAGAATAAGAAATAGCGTAAAATCCTGTATTGTGTATTAAGAGTCAAATCAGTAAAAATGCAAACTTGAAACACTAAAAATGAAACAGTAGAAGACAAATTATATTCTATATGATTTGTCATTAGTTAGTTTTCCTTTTTTATATTTTAAACATTTCCACAGATTGAACTCCCTATATTTTTTTCAACGTATTTAGTTGTTTGCTGTAAAATATTAATTTAATATTAATCATTTTTAGATTTTAGTCAAATGTACCTTTTTTCTAAGAGCCATAAGGCAAATCTATCATGCCCAAATCTCAAAAGGACCAAGAGATTATATTTTTAAATTTGTGTTATTTGAAAAAANAATGCAAATATAACTATAAAAATGCACTAAAAATATTTAAGCACTATATTGGCATAAATAAAGAGTTTAGATGACTAAATTATCACAAAAGTATTTGAAGAATAATTATTGGATATTTTATAAATAAAAGAGAGAAAATAATTGATTTTGAAGCTCTTAAAATTATAGAAAAATTATAAAAAATGCTTATGCAGCTTATAAATGCATATGTACTATTTTTAAAATATATATCTATACTATATTAAAAGCACGAAGGCCATTAGCGAAATTTCGTTCGCCTTTTATACCCTTTAAAAATATATTTTAAATTGAATAAAATTGTAAAATCATAAAACTTACCTAATATTTAGGAGTTTGAAATCAAATAAATTTGTTCCCAATATAGTTTTGTATTGGAGATATTTTCCTAATAAGGCTGCACGAGATATTAATTAAATAAAAATGAATGCAAAAAATTAGGCAAAAAGTTTCTTTACCAACAAGGAACTCGCCGATCTGTGTAAATCTTTTGTTCTTTATTATTTGTATTTATTTATACCGGACCAATTTTGCCTCAATCCATTCATATGAACAGTTTGTTGTTCTTATGATTTTAATAATAAGTATTCCTTAGAATTTTGGCTGTCTAATTTGTTTCTTTTCTACTCTTAGAAACGACATGCTAGAAAGAATTTAAAATACTAATTATCCTTGGAAAAAATAGTAATCATTTATTAGTGATAAACATTTAATTTATTACTTGTTTGAGGAGGAAACATAACCAAGTTAAAAATGTCACTTAAAATTTAATGCTTATTCCCGTTAAATACATGAAAAATGACATTGTCTTTTG